CATGTTGGTTTTTTTGGTATTTTATGATATAATAATGGGTTTCAGAGTTTAAAAGGGCGTAGAAATTAATCTTGTCCCCATGCGCAAAGCACGTCAGCTATGCCTCTGCATCTGCACACCCACAGACAGAATCTGCATCTGCACACCCACAGACAGAATCTGCATCTGCACACCCACAGACAGAATCTGCATCTGCACACCCACAGACAGAATCTGCATCTGCACACCCACAGACAGAAGCTGCATCTGCACACTCACAGACAGACGCTGCATCTGCACACCCACAGACAGAATCTGCATCTGCACACCCACAGACAGAATCTGCATCTGCACACCGACAGACAGAAGCTGCATCTGCACACCCACAGACAGAATCTGCATCTGCACACCCACAGACAGAATCTGCATCTGCACACCCACAGACAGAATCTGCATCTGCACACCCACAGACAGAATCTGCATCTGCACACCCACAGACAGAATCAATACCAGAACGAATACAATGATTTCAATGGAATTGATCGATGGCGTCGGACGAATTAACATAACACCCCTCTGTCGGCACTATCAAAACACCCCTCTGTCGGCACTATCAAAACACCCCTCTGTCGGCACTATCAAACCACCCCTCTGTTGGCACTATCAAACCACCCCTCTGTTGGCACTATCAAACCACCCCTCTGTTGGCACTATCAAAACATCCCTCTGTCGGCACAATCAAAACAGCCCTCTGTCGGCCTCTGTCGGCACTATCAAAACCTGCCTCTGTCATAACACCCCTCCGATGTCGGAAAAATACGGTAGTTATGGGGCCTCGTGTGGCTCTTTTAAGAAATGGGGCCTCGTGTGGCTCTTTTAAGAAACAGATGCGGCTCTGGATCATTATTTTTTTAAGAAGACATATATTGACACTTATACATGCCGCCCCCCCCCCTTGCCTTTGGCTCCAAAGATGTTGGACTAGCACAGTTACGGTTAGGGAAGGACCTTGATTGCAGCCAGTTGACCCAATTACGCAGCAGTACACAAGGCAGGACTAACTAACATATGACATTGTACACAGCACGGCCCGCCCAGACCTGGCAGACGTTGTAGCAGTTTTTTGAAATGTTTAGTCATTTATACTACGAGTATGCCTATGGGTCATAGTCATGGTATAGACTTGCCAACGTGGTGACAATACCGACGATTTTAATATGAACTAAAACCATATATATATATATATATATATATATATATATATATATATATATATATATATATATATATATATATATATATATATAATGTTTTGAAATAATGAAGATTTGTATCAATTTATCATTTTGAAAATTAATACGTCGATATGCTGACTTTCGTAAAGGAAATAGAAACAACTGCGTAAAAATAATGCAGGAACAAAATTATCTACAATGATGAGTCATCTGAATAAATGCATAGCCACGAGGAGAAATTGAAAAGTTTAAATGTATACTGCTATGAGCCTGCAATAAATGGGATCACAAGGAACTGATACAAAAAAGAATAAATAATATTTTTATTTCCTATTCAGGTTATTTTTTGTCAAAAATCTTTTTTGTGAAAAACACAAAATGGATTACTTCATCAAAAAGGATTAGCATATTCGGTGGGGGTGGGGGCAGTGCGTAGATATTGTTGTGTCACCCCCTTACGTGAAAAAATCTGCAGCTGGCCGAAGATGCATCCACTCGATATAAAGAAAAAAGTGCCACAAACCACCCTCTACCCAAATTATTACGCCCCAGGTTGTGGCAAAGGAGAGTAGGACAACCATGATAACCTATCAACAGTGGCGTAGCTGGGGGGAGGGGGGACGGTGCGGACCGCACCAGGTGACACTATCTCAGGGACTGACACCAACTGAAAAATTGCATTTTTACAGGGCACACACGGAATTTCAATAATTTCATAAAATGATAACTGATCACACGTAATTTCTCCACACGTGTCACCAATCCAAATCCGGGCTTTATTAAAAGTTCAAGGGAGCCGTATCAAAAATAATTAAAACATCTTTTAATAATTAATTTAAATTAAGTCTTATTTAAAAAAAAAAAAAAAACACTTTTGAAACCAAATCTAACTAAACACAGAAATGCTAAAAAGAATAACATTTTCGCCCGATTCCTCACTAGCCCCACCCCTTAATATCTGAGCATAATTGTCATACAGCACAAGGTCTTTTATATGCTGCCTGTGATGTCACGTTTATCTTCTACCTTTACCTTGGGGGCTGATCAACTTGAGGAAGTTCATTCATCTTACACATGCTTAGTAAAGGAGCTACTCTTGAGTAAGGCGTGACAAACCGGAAAGGAGTTACTTTTGAGTAAGCCGTGACAAACCTAAAGGGGGGCGGGGCGGGGTGTCCATTACTTTGCGTCAACAATTTTTAAGCCATTTTGCCCCCCCCCCCTTTATTTTTATCAACTGTCAAACTTTCAATGACCTCCCCCCTTTACAGTAATTATATCTACATTTCTATAACCCCACCCCCCACCAAAATAAAATGCAAATATAATATAAATCAATGTTACTTTATGCTGATCTATTTTAAGGACACACAATTGTAGGAAAAGATTTTTATTGCATCTTTAGCTTCTTACTCAACAAGTTAAAACTTTATTTAAATACAAATTATATAACTATTTAATTTACACTCATTCGAATTTGTTAAAATAATGTAATAACCAGTCAATTTTTAAGATACAAATTTAAGTAGAGAAAACATGATTGTTGACGTCAACTAATCTACCCCCCCCCCTGTCAACAATTGTCAAACATTTTTAACCCCCTCCCCCACCTCATATTTTGTTGACATATTTAATGGACGACCCCTAGAGACCTTAAGTTTGTTTCTGCACGAGAAGCGCTGTCACTTGGTGGAACATGCTATTGAAAAGGCAATTTTAAAATCAGATCGATATATAATTTCGGTAGAGAGGAGATTAATTTTTAAGAAGAGAATGGCAGAACAATTAATAGTTGCTAGACTCACTCTACGAGAAGGAAACAGTAAGGAAATGCTGCAGTGTATTAATCACTTTCATACTGACCCCAGATCAGATCATCATCGATCAAGGAAGTAGTAGATATGTTTAGGGCTGTTCAACCCATGAGTCTACTATCAGCAAGTGAAGAAAAGTTATTGGTGTCCGTTCCAAAACTAACCTCTTTCTATGATGAGTTATGAGAAGATGAACTTTTAAAGGAAATAACACGGCTTATATGACACCTACATGAAGCTGATATTAATTGCACAAAGTCATGGACTGGTCAGTTTTTGATGTTTTGAAATTCAAAGCTGAGAGGGTTTCCTAGAATCTCTTCCAATACTCTCGCTAAGCCTTCAAATGTTTCTTACGATCTATGTGTCTGTGGCGTCATGGAAGTCGGGGGAGGGGTGACACCCTAAGTTGACCGCATCAGGTGACACCAACCCTAGCTACGCCACTGCCTATTGATTCATATTATTTAATTTAGAATACTAATTCATGTGCTGCATAATCTCAAGTCACAATGTGTAAACTCCGTCACAATTACATTAAATACTAGTAATGATGTATTGAATATAGACATGAATAAAATTCACCGCATTGTTTCGTCATAAATGTCTCATTAAAAATTAATTGATATCTTGTTGCTTTATAATAATGGTGTCACTGCGCTACCGCAGCATATTTTGTTAGACTAGCACATTCACACATACATATTACATTTTAATTACATCAAATTAAAATTGACAAGTAGAATAGTCATTATCCCTCGACAGAATTGGATTGCCTTAGTTTAAAAATTCACAGCGCAAAATGGGGGAGGGGGGATTGTACTCGCCCTGGACGTCAATATCATGAAAAGGGGAGGGAGGGGGTAGTCTTTATTTAGGACCTTGAAAGTAAATTCAACGATAAAGTCCCGTGTTCTGTACAAAGAAGAAGCTTGGTAGGGGCACAATGTTCGTACTTGCCCAATGTCCTTGGAACCAGCGGCGTGATACCAAACAATCATCAACCGTTTCGATAACTGTAACATTTCTTAAGATTTTTAAATTAAAAAAAATATATTCTTTGTATTGTTTTGGCATTTTTAATAACCGGTACGGTAGAATAGTCAAAATTTAATACCAGTTACCAGAACCAGACTGAACCGGCTCCGACACACTACTGTTAGGTACGCCTCGTTCCACTTTAGTCTAGTGGTGCCTGATTTGTTATCAACTTAGGTGGTTGCTCAGATTATTCAAGGTTCATTGTACGTGGTAATAACAAAAATACATAAAAGTGAAATATTTATAAACAAAAATACCTTTATGAAATACAAAAATTAACTGTAATGGTAAAAAATAACAGATAAAACGAATTTGGGGTGGGGGGGAGGGGGTTATTTTGCAACTGGATTTGACCAAGTTTAGGACAGTGTCTCTTGGAGGTGTAGCAATTAAATTCAAATATGTTTTATTATTGATACATTCTATTCTATCATTTATGTTAGTAACTGCATTTCCTTAACAGTATGTTAAAGGTAATGGGTTTTTGTGTGTGTAGAGGTAAAAAAAAAACACACACACAGTTAAAGAGTTCTAAATTGTGTTTGGTTTAGTTCATTTATTACTTTTTGATATATTATTTCTTGTTTTTTTTAGATTTAAATTGTAAAAAAGTTTGAATTAACTTTAAAAAAAAAAAAAAGATTAAATTTAAAAAAGTGCCTGAACCTTCGCGGTTGTAACAGTTATAGGATTAAACACACCAATAAAGGAGCATTGTAATTTCCAGTTACATTTAAAAAAACTATTTTTAAAAAGAAAACTATGTTTTTATTATCAAATACAAAAATGATTATTTAAAAGAACAAATAAATAAAAAAGAATAACATTTAAGATTTTAATTTTCATTATAAATTAAGTCTCGTGGGGTTGGGAGTCTTTATTTGCATAATTTTAAGCCTCGAATCAGTTGACAGCCTCGATCTCAGTCTTTCTTTCTCCAACTTGGACCGGCTAGCAAGCCACGCTTTATTTCAACAACCCGTACCAACTGTGAAATGCCTGTAAGTTGAATTTTACATGTACTAAGATTCATTTAAATTGTTATCAAAGTGATAATTAAACTTAGCCACTTAGTATTTAGCAGGCCCTCTGTGAGTAAAAAGACTCATTTATCACGAATTTATTTTCCGGTTGTACTGTCGGGAATTTGTAACAATGATGGCTGAAATGTATGATTGTGCGCCATCTTGAAGATTTGCGCTTTGGTTATAAAATTTCTAGAAAGTTCCCTAAGTAAATCAAAATTTAATGCAGCAAAGTTTGTAATTTCACTTAACCAACTTGTCGGTTAATTTATTTCATGCTCGTCATATTTGAATGTGGGAAATAATATAATTGGGCTCCATTTGTGACAGTGGAGAGGGGATGTATTAATTCACTAATTTATATTATATTCTACCTATATTAAATTACAGTAAACAGGTCCCTTTTTTAAAAAAAAAATATTTGGTACAATGGACTTATGGCAATAGTGTTGAAAATGAAATTATACAAAATTAACTCTTTATTAACTTAACTAAACTAATCTTAACTTCTTTGAACCAGTTTTTAGTTAGTGATTTTATAGTTTATGCTCAATTAGATATCCAGATTACCGTATCTGTGGTTGAAATAATTGAATATTTTTCATCTTACAGTATCAAGGTGGCGGAGGATATGGTGGTGGTGGTGGTGGCTACGGTGGTGGAGGTGGAGGGGGTGGTCGCTATGGTGGAGGTGGTGGTGGCGGCGGCAGAGGAGGAAGAGGTGGTGGTAGAGGTGGCGGAGGAAGATACAATGATGAAGGTGATGCAGACCCTAATGCAGAACAATTCAGAAAGCTTTTTGTTGGAGGTCTTAGCTATGAAACAGATGAAGATGGTCTACGAACACATTTTGAGAAATGGGGTGAAATAGTTGACTGTGTTGTTATGCGTGACCCCAATACAAAAAGGTAAGAATAGTTACATCATAACAGATCATAGTTAAATTAAAGGCAGTGTCTACATGCGCCGGGCGTCTATCTCCCGCACTATGTGTCCGGTGACCAAGTCACATGACTGCCGTATCAAAGTGGCGAGAGATATCGTGTCGGTCAGCCTTGTCACGTGACTGCGAATAATTCAAAACTATTGTTAATTTTAAAATCTATTTCTCTACCAAGTAATGTACGGAGTATCTTGAATGCAAATAATAGAAAAACAAACTTAAGTGAAAGTGGCTTGTAAACATTTTTGTTTAGTTTGTTATTTTTTGTGTACCAGTAATCCATAAAATAAATTAGGGGCCAGTGTGGCAACCAATAAAAGTTAAAGATTTCATTTTAAATTATTTCAATTGCTACAAAATATTTAAAAACTTCTCATGAAACTACTGTTGCTGAGGAACATGATAATATAAATATATACAAAATATTTAAATTAAAATGGGAAGAAAAAAACGACCGTATCCCCGGTATAGATCCTCAAACATTCCTATCGTCAAGCAACCACTCTACCACAAGACCAGACAAGATGTACTAAATCGTACTTCGTTTGGAATTATAAAAACTACTAGCCGTCCAGCGGTCACGTGACAAGTCGCCGGACGTGTATCTTGCGCGCGCCGGACGTGTAGACACTTCGTAAATTAAACAAGTGACTGTTAAAGATTTAAATGCAAATAATTTAAAACAGGAAGGTTTACAAAGGAAGGTTTACAATATAGTATACTCGTATCCAGCTGTGAGCTTACTACTCCTTGTCTTTACGTTTCAATTATTTCTGTAGCAAAGCTATGATGTTAAAAAATATTTGCTATCTGATAGTATTATTTGATGGATAAAAATTCTACCACCTAGATCTCTGAGCTTTGCCTTATTCTTAAAAATTCGTCTAAAAATTCGAGACTTTAGTAATGAATATTTTAATCTACAATATTTTAAAATTCAGTTTCATTTTATAGAATGTTTTTTAAAAAATTTTCAGATCTAGAGGCTTCGGTTTTATCACATACAAAGATTCTGCAATGATTGATGAAGCTCAAACAAATAGACCCCACAAAATAGACAATAGGGAAGTTGAAACAAAGCGTGCCATGCCCAGAGATGTAAGCATAGTTTTAATATTATGGATCAATATAACTTGAACGATAGTTACACTTAATTAGTTTTACATTTGATTTCTACCTACCAATTTGAATTATTTTAACAGGCTGCTGGAACAAGTAACCACCAATCTGTGAAAAAAATGTTTATTGGAGGCATGAAAGATGACACAACAGAGGAACACATTCGAGAGGTCTTCAGTACGTTTGGCTCAATTGAGTCAATTGATATTGTAACAGATAAAAATACGGGGAAGGTGCGAGGATTTGCATTTGTCAGTTTTGAAGATTATGACTCTGTGGACAAAGCTGTATGTGAGTACATCTTGTTATTACTTACATTTATCCTGTTTAAGCAAAGCCATGATGTTAAAAATATTTGCTATCTGATAGAATTATTTGATGGATAAAAACTCTACCACCTAGATCTCTGAGCTTTGCCTTGCCATAGTTTTTATATTTGCCTATAGGTTTATTTAAATTTTAGTATAGCGGTACATACATTTTAACAATTGTGATATGGGTGCATATATTGAACTTACTATTTTCTTCTGCAGTGAAAAAGAGGCATGATCTGAATGGTAGAAAAGTGGAGGTTAAAAAGGCAGTTTCAAAAGACCAAATGGATGGTATGTTGATTTACTATTGTTGAAAAATGATCCTAGAGGATTTTAAGTTAACATCCATTTCTGTTTTATTTTTATGAAAAATATTTTGCATTTCAGGTGGTGCCAGAGGTGGTGGAATGGCAGGGAGAGGACGAGGCAGGGGAGACAGCTATGGTGGCGGATATGGAGCCAATGGTGGTGGTGGTGGTTATGGTATGTACTAAGTATTTATGTATGACAACACAATGCATATGGGCAGGTCTGCATTTTTACAAGGATATCTATATTGTGTGATGTGGATGTGTGTGCTTAAATCTTTTGTAATGATTTTTTATCGGTCGTATAAAGCTCTTTCAAAGTTGGTGAAAATAGAATTTGCATTTTTAAAAATACTTTATTAAATTCTCGATGTGTTATCTTTTACCTTAATATACAAACTTAGTTAAAGTAAGAAATTAATTGCTTTTAACAAAATTTATATAATTTGGTTTGATCTTACTTTTTCAGTCAGCTGCTACTTTGTGTATATCTATAAATTATATATTTATTTTATTTTAAAAACAGGATTAAGGTCTACAAGTGGATTACAATGTGGACTATTTTTTTTGACATTTTCAGCACCATAGCCTAGTTTTATAGTTCCTATTCAATTCTCTGAAAATGTGATGTAGCTGCTAATGTTAACCCTGTAGACGTTTAAAAAATTTCTTCTATTTTTCATTGACTGCCAATAATTTAATGACTAGTATGTAGTAATTTTCAAATATGAAACATGGCTGGTGCTGAATTTGTTAAAAGTTGCAGTTATTGTTGAAGTTTCCCCAGCATTGTTTGGATTGGGCATTTAAGAAAACCTTTTACCAAAAGAGCAAAGCAACTTGCTAATAGCTTTAGCCAGCTATTTGATATCATCCCACAGTGTTTTTTACAGCTAAATTAGGTCATTTAAGTAATAAGTGTTAATGTGTGCCCTGTTACAGGAGGTTACAGTGGTGGTGGTGGCTATGGAGGTGGCGGATACGGCGGAGGATATGGAGGACAGGGCTGGGGAGGCTCTGGAGGCGGCTATGGCGACTACAGTAAGTTCCACCCCCCCCAAAGTTCCTCTTCTGAACTTGCGCTGGGATTTCAGTTGTTCTCATCTTTGTCTAATGCGTGACATACTTCCAAAAGGTTTAGCTATGAAAAGAAAAAAGGCAAGTTAATAGTCTGAAATAAACACTGTGAGGCTGATGGGGTACAACAATAATTGCGGCGTACTTAATTTTGAAATGCATGGAAAATTCTGTAAACATAGCTTTACGAAGTTTCCTATCAATGTATTTTTTGTTTTTAATTACCAGACAGCAGCTGGGGAGGAGGTGGTGGTGGTGGTTTTGGTTCCAACTACGGAGGTGACTATGGTGGTGGCCCAATGAAAGGAGGCGGCTACTCAGCTCGTGGACAGGGTCCTTATGGAGGTTTGTTTGCTTTGATCAGTATTTTTCATGCATTTTAATATGGCTGCTAAAAAAAAACGCGATTTCATCGGTTCAGTAAAATCACAGTTGTCATTATGAACAATTCAGTTTTAGGGCTTAGTTTTTATCTCTAGGGTATTTTCCTTTTCTTCCTATTGCTCCTTGGTTTTAACAATAGTTGCCTTAATTAATGCCTTTTTTCCTTTCTTGACTATTGTATCATGAAATGGTTTTATGACACCTGAGTGTTGCAGGCACTTTTCAAAGTTATTAGCATTTTGGGTAGTAAAGAATTATTTTGCCAGAGCTTTTTAAAGCATCTGCATATTCTTTATTGCCCCTATTTGCTGTTAATTTATTGTTAAACATCTTTCTCTTTCAATCAACATTTAGATAAAAACGTTACAAACGTTTCGTCGGCAGGTGGCTATGGACAAGGTGGTGGCTATGGTGGTGGTGGTGGTTACAGGCGATAGAATTTATCTTATGCTATTCTTAACAAGACACAGGTAAGTTGCTCACAAAGATAGGCTTTCACTGCAATGCTGAAGCTGGTGAACTTGTACCCTTTTTTTTAACTTAACAAATTTTTCTTAGTGTCAAGTAGGGCTTTTAAGTATATACGATTTGGCTTTGAGTGAAAGCCTAGGTTTGTGATTTGTTTAAATGTTTGCCAATAAGTCGGTAGTCTGGTGAAAGAGGAATACATGTAGGTGGAAAACTTTATGGCGTTTCATCAAATGACAAGACTACTTCAGTCATGTTGAGACTCCCCTTAGTGCGTGGTTGTGGCTTTATTCCCAAAACTTTGAAAAGAATTGGTTGGGCAGTGGAAAGGATCAAGAATGTATCATTTCCAGGGAGTCTCTTCAGAACATGTTTTTCCTAAATGGTAATGTATTTGTTTGTCTGAACTTTTTCTATGGATCTCATTCATAAACCATTGTGTTAAGTGCATTTTGTTGCAGATATCATAACTGCTGTTTCCTTTCCTCACTTATTATAGGCAGGCAGGCAAACAGGTTGTAAGCAGATTAAGGATACTAGAATCTGGAAGATTTAGCAGGCAGGCAGTTCAGACTTCAGGCTTAGATAGGGTTGTATGACCATCAGCCTAGGGAAATCCTATCTATTCTCAAAGCCTTCCAATCATCAACATTAGGTTCTCTAAGCAACCATTTCGAGCAGTCTACTTGAGTGTTAGGAGTCAGATCAGGTAGCCGCGTCATTACTCAGTGTAGTCATATTGCTCTTATTTTTCAATGTCAACTAAGTGTTATTTTCGTCAAGTATTCTTGTCCTTGCTATTATTAAAAATTTATTTAGATATGACTCAAGGAAGACACAATTGAGAAGTTAGTTGAAAGGGCAAAATATTCTTGAGGTTTTGTCTAAGAAAAGAAAAAATCTCTTGGTTATTTGCGGGTGGAGTGGGTGTTTTAGATTTCTTTAGTGAGTAGTTAATTCACCAAAATAATCTAGCCCTAGTAGATCTTCATTAAACTGTGCCTGCCTTGATATTTTTAGAATAGACGGTTGTATTGTCAGATGTTACATTGCCTGCGTTTATCATCATGTAAGATAGAAGCCTGCATTAAGATTTTTTCAAAACTTGCTTTTATATTCCATCAGTATCCTCATGAAATCGTTCATTCATCAATTCATTTGTCCAACATTCTCATTACCTTGTATATCAACGGGAGGTACAATCATTGGGGCTCTTTGTCATAACTCACCTCATAATGTTCATTGGTGTTCTTTTATGTGAATGTTGTCCTTTATGTCCAGTGTTGTTTTTTTAAAAACATTTTTTTAAACATTTTAATTTTTTAAAATTAAATGTTTGTGGAATAATAAATTGTTTTATCAGATATACTCCTCTGCGTTTTTTTCCATTTTTTTGTGGTTTCCTGCTCATTTGTACATAGTTAAGAAATACAATTTTAATAATTGTTTTGAAGTAATGTGCTTACATTTTATACCGTGGATTTCATTTTCATTCAGTCAACATAATTTGTTTGTGGTGGCTTACTTAATTTTTCCCCAGTAAGACAATTTATAGCAGTGCTTTTAATAACTTTGATTTAAGATTTTAAGCCGATGGGTTATTCAAAAATCCTTTGCCGTTTCAGTTATACGGTACGCAAATTTTTAAATGGTTTCATATAGCGTGGTGCCCCAGCCTAGGGCTGGGCTCACCACGCTGTACATACAATTTAACAAACATAATATAAAAAACTTTGAAAATTTATTGACTCAGTACGGTAATTAAACAAAACATGTATACTGGTACCAGGGTGCCTTTCGGCCTTAAGCATAAAGTTCAACATGTTAACTGATCTAAATACTAACACTAAGGTGCTAATGTACAGAGTGGGTACCTGCACTTAGTTGTTATAGATAGCTGAATTAAGACATACTGGTCATACTTCGATCAGGTTAAGTTGATAATAAGGTGTGACTTGGTCCTTTTAAAGTGAAAGATGGCACAATGCATGATTTCTAAAATCAAGAAGTCACTTTTCTGTATTCACTGTTGGATCATATTTTATTGTACGGTAATGAAAGGTTAGAAGAAAATATTTATACCAGTTCACATAAATGATTCTCTGTGATCTATTCATTTGAGTTTGAGGCAAACCTTCATCATAGGTGTTTTCAGTTTTCGCATTTAATGAAAGCTTTAATTTGTGAATTTGTCACAGTAGACTAGCTAATTATGTTGTTCCTATTATCTCAGCTTATATCTTTGGCACACATTCAATAAAGATTGATTAAACTTTAACTTCACTAAACTACTAATAAAATAATGAACCTTTTTATCATTGAAATTTATCGAAATTAAATGCATAAGCAAACTTAAAAATTAAAATGAAAGCTTAAACTCGCCTAGATCATCAAAATATCGATGCCCAGAGTCTCAGAGCTCAAACAGTGAGATCAATAATCTTATGCTTCGGCATGATAATAAACGCGAAACTACAAAGCGTCATGTCTGCTTTCACTTTCATAGGAAGCTAATATTATCAAAACTATTTACATATTGTCAATTACGGTTGGGAACCGCTGCAATGGGGTAACCTTGAGGTACCGTTATTTATAAATACGGTACCGGTATATATTGTTAGAATTAGAAGCGTGAAATGTTTTTTCACCAGTACCTTATCAATACCCCCTTTTTTTTATTAAACAAAACATAATTTAATAATAAACCCGCAGTGCAAGTAGTCTGAAATGGAATAATTCTTCACTCTTCAAAGCCAGTGATTGTTAATTTTAGTAGTAGTAGGCCTTTAGACTATAGTCAATTAAATTTTCTTCATAGCTTCAGTGGTGAAGATGTCTTTTATCCAAACGTTTGATTTGAATTCACAGCCAACTACGGTCCGGGTGCCGGTACAAATTCTTTTTTTTTTTTTTATTTTTTTTTTTTTTTTTTTTTTTTTTTTTTTTTTTTTAAATTCTCCTTTACAAGTTTTAAGGTTGCCGTCCCGTACAATGAGCAAATACTCAGCGAGTCCAGATGTTACTGTTACCAAAGAAAAAAACCTCTATTTCATGAGTCATTCATTACGGTATCTTAAAATGTTTGACACCTGCAATTAATTCGTTTACAATATTTACACAATACCGGTACAATTATACTATTAGAGAAAACAAACACATTTTTTTTAGGAGTACCAGTATGGGAAATAAATTGTAATTTGTCCTTAATTTTGTATTTTGAATATTTTTAAATTTTACCACGGGAGGCAAATAATTACAAAATACATAAGTTTTAAATTATCTAAGTAATTTTAATTTAAGTAATGTACCGGTACTCGAATATTTAGGAATGGACATAAGACTTTTAGTCGCAGTGTAACATAGATGGCAAACTATAAATACCAGTATTTGTATTAATTAAAAAAGTTAGGACGTTACACTTACACATAGAGAGTTACAATTACAATATACAGAAGAATTTAACACAATGACAATGTTAATAGTATAGACGCCTCCCCTTAAACTTTAAGATTTAAATAATTATAAAAGATAAAATGGAGTTCACCCTTCACAGTATTGACAGTGACAGCCTGGTTTCCCCCACGCTAGTAGGACCGTACTACCGTTACTACTGGAGTTTGAGGGGGAGGGTCGAAAAAGGAAAACACACCTGGAGCATCATATAATATAATACCGGTACGGTACATGATACCCCGAGACGATGGCCGTTACGGTTAGGATGAGAAAAGTAGGAATTGAGTTCGGTACCGGGGCAATTCTGTGAAGTCCGGTCCCAAATTATTTTGTATGAACATAATTGCAATACCCGGACCGTACACAGTGTGTACCGGTAGTGTTAGAAAACGGCAGAAATGTCAGTCATAGCTTTTGCAAATAACTGTCACTTTACAAACCAGTCGGTAAATACTAAATATTGTAATTGGCACATAGCAGTTGCAAATGGCAGCTTAAAACGTGCTGGTTGTGACTGTTGCACCACTGAAACTGAAAGGCCCCCCCAAGTAGCTGGAAAACAGACCGCAACTAGTACCACTCTGATAAGCGGAGTTTACGTTTCGCTTGCATCCAAAGTCCTTCAATAGTTTTTGTATGAATGCCCTGTTCTACTGGATCAACAAATTCACGCGCGTGCACAATGACAGTAGCATGATCCAAAATCCCGTTGCTGAGCTGAGCGACATGTTGATATCCTCGCCAAGCGTCTGTGACGATAGTTGTCCCTGGTAACATATGATTAGTGATAAAGCGCTCGATTTTAACATAATTTTCCAAAATTTAACAAATTTATTGAAATAGATACGCAAACATGAATTTCAAAACAAAAGGATGCCTTAGCCTTTTATGTAAGGAGTAAATCATTGGAAATAGTTTGGGACCGGACTTTGGAGGAATGCCAGTGTAGCGATACCTAATCTAATAATTCTATTTAAATTAATTAAATATACCCCGAAACCGTCGCCGTTAGTAAAGTAGGAATTGAGTATCGGTACCTATTGTAATAATTCTATTTAAATAACGGTACCGGTACCTTAAAATTTTAGCATAATTTTTTATTATTGTTATAACACGACCAGGTAAAGGTGTATAGATGTATGACGACACAGGATGGGGACGGAACTGATTTTGTAAATTTGTGCTTTCATGTTTTTTACCGGTAAATTGTGTCAAATCTTATGGTGTAAACATTGTTGTGTAAGTGGAAGTAGCGGTAGCACCCGTAATAAACCTCGGAAATTAAAAATAAATAAATCCCTGCTTCAATTACATTTACATACCGGGTACCGTAAATGACTACAAAATACTAATACCTACCAGTACCAGGTACTTATAATTTATACTGATACCGGGTACAGTGATTAAAAAAAAAAAAAAGGAATTGAGTCATATATACTCTGTTACCCGACCCACCCTCTCCGGAGCTGACGTACGTACCACAACGGTATTTTAAATTATACCGTTACCAAGTTTAACAAAAAAAAAAAACATACCGGGTACCGTAAATGACTACAAAATACTAATACCTACCAGTACCAGGTACTTATAATTTATACTGATACCGGGTACAGTGATTAAAAAAAAAAAAAGGCATTGAGTCATATATACTCTGTTACCCGACCCACCCTCTCCGGAGCTGACGTACGTCCCCCAACGGTATTTTAAATTATACCGGTACCAAGTTTAAAAAAAAAAAAAAGGCATTGAGTCATATATACTCTGTTACCCGACCCACCCTCTCCGGAGCTGACGTACGTCCCCCAACGGTATTTTAAATTATACCGGTACCAAGTTTAAAAAAAAAAAAAAATGATTGTACTGACATGTACTGTGTAACCGCGGTACTCATTTTTCTGTAAAAAAAAAAAAGTTTATTACTTTTAGTTTAAAATTTTTTTTTTCTAATTTCATACCGGTACTAAAAAACCATAGTGATATATGATATATGTAATGTGACGGTTTTAAAACATTTAGATTTAGACCATCTTGATAGATAAAAGGGGCAGACAGCTCCGCTAACCAGTCAACTGAGACTGAGATGGATTGATGATGTAGAGAAGGGCTTAATGACTCAAACTTAAACCAGTGCATGGAGGCTAAGAGCCATGGATCGGTATGGCAGGATGTGGTGGAGCAGGCCAGGGCTCTACATGGTCTGTAGCGCCACAGATGACGATACGGTACAGGTACACTATAGTAAAAATTAAATCAAACTCAACAAGTTTGAAAAAGTACTGATTAAGTGTAAATTAGAATAAATATTAATCATAATTTCATACACTGATTATTACAAAATAAATAATTACATGGCAAACATTGAATTAACAATATATTTGTTAATTACCACATAAGAATAAAATGCTTTATGAATATAACTATATGTACCTGATCCAAAAGTTGAATAAATTCAATAATTCAACAGCAATAATTTATGCATACAGGCATAAAGGCAAGGAGTCTACAATGACAGTTTGTGCCAAGCAAAAGGAATTAAAAAAGAAAACATACCAGGTACCCCCAGGCACCTATATCAATTTACTGATGACCACATATTGTTATTACCGTATTAGTATTAGGTTGATTGGCCAGAGTCAGATTTTTAGATACTTAACACCAATGAATGATACCACTACCACTACCATTGGTAGTGAAGGCGACATGTTCATATAAAACACTGAGTAAACTGAGTAAAGTAAAGGAGCCATTTGCATATAAAAATAGCTATAATAAAACTTTGATTTACTTTAATATAAGTAACAGTATAAGTATAATAAAAATTAAAATGGTATTAAACCACCCATTGAGTAGGAGTTACTAGGCGTACCGTACAACTTGGGCCTAATGTTGTTTGGGAGTTGTTTTAAATTATTTTTTTTCAGCATGTAATAATGGTAATCGATATTTGTAGCATTTCAATGTGCAAAAATCAACATAAATCATCCATCACCACTAACTTAATTTAAAATATATAATTGGTTAATTCCTGAAAGAAAATGTTCATCTATGCCCGGAGGCTGAAATGTATAAAATGATAAATACAAGTGAAGTATGGAAACTCACAGACTTAAAAATAAAAGACAGGCTATACCGGTATTAAATTGTTTTAAATCATTTAAAACAAGAAGGGGTGAGTACATTGTTCAATAATCCATGTGATATGGCGGAACAATCTCATATTCTGCATGGTGTATTTATAATAATTTTAATACATAAAAATCAGAAGTAAAAAAAGCATTTAGAATATATAAAGAATAAAAAATAACAGCAATGATAGCACTGAGTACCGGTACACACGGTTTACTTACATTTACATAAACATTATGATGAGCACTAACCAAACTCACTCAATAGTTCTCAATTTATCATGCATCCAGGATAATGGCTTGCCAAAAAAATAAAATAAATGCAATTTTTAAACTGAATGCCTTATTTATGTAGATTTTAAAAAATATTTCACTAATGAATAATTAAAATTCAATTTTTAAACATATATAACACAATTATAGATAACACATATATTAAACACAATTCTGCTGACTTAAGGTTCATTAAAAAGATTTTAAATTTGATCCATTAAAAAAGATTATAAATTTGATCTAAGTCGGCGTAATGATTTTATGCTGGAAATGTGATCACGTTTCAAAAGTAGTATGATACCGGTATACATACTGGTACTGTACCAGTATAAAAATTGTAAAATTTCTATACTATACTATAAATGCAGAACTGTGTTGTTCACAGTTGCATTGGCTGGAAGTGGAACAATGTTAATAAAAACAACCCACACCTTTCTAATTCTAAAGATATAGCTGAAGAATGCTTCCAGGAAGTTTTTGACCTATTCAATTTTGAATACCGATACTGGTATCAATAATGAAAAAAATTAAACTTTTTTGATTAATAACCTTTTTGATTCTGGTTAACTCATTTTCATTACAGGTAGCTTAAAAGAAATGCCAGTATACAAGCTATGAATATGAACACATTTCCTCAGGCATTGAACTTCACAAACAATAAATAGAAAAGATTTATTTATTGGAAAGATTAAAAGCCAAAGTGATTGTGAATAACTTATTATAATACTAACAGAGTTCCCACCTAAGATATAATTGTGTGTAAAGTCAAAATATTTATTTTATAAAAAATACCTTAACCAGGCTCCGTAAATATTAATTCTGAACATAAAAATATTGTTTCAATCCCTACCCAAAGTATCTACTATTTACATCATTTTGGTTCTTAATTGATACCATTTCTTACATCGAGATAGCCCAGAACATTCTATTTTTTACTTTTCATCTTGGTAATGGAAATTTCAACATGGGCGCCACAAGTTACTGACACTGACACAAATCATTTGTGTTAAAATTATACTATAATTGGAATACGGTACTCACTCTTAATTTATATACATTGGACACTTTTTTAATACCCGGAGAGTTTATAGATCCTGTTTTACTGGCTTATACTTATAATATTGGTTGTCTTTAAAAATTATATACCGTACCAATACCAGTAAAATAAACAGACTAAGGGTTTTTATATTTTGTCGCTGAAAAATCAAAATGAGAATAGAGGATTTTTAAGTATTATGGTGGCCAATAATTTTTACAAAAAATTAATGACAAACAATTGTGTCAGGTATTGCTTTTCCATAACTAGATTTGTCAACTTTTAACAAATTTGGCAACACAATATAGGTCAACATTTTATATCACAGTCCATTTGACAAAGTTATTTTATTTTACAAGATTTATTGGATATTATTAATAATATTTTAAATGTTTTTTTTTTATAACAAACAACTAGATTTTACTAGATCAACAGCTTTTAACTGCATTGTACATGGGCTTCTTACCGACTGAACTTTCAGCATCAAGGATTTGCTCTTGTTCAGCATACGAGCGAAGAAAACTTCTTGAGTACAACAACAAGGCAAAACCCCACTTCCAAGTCATGAAGCACCATACACAGGTTAAGTAATAGCCTTCACCATAAACAACTAAGCCTGTAACAGAAACATTAGCCATAATGTTAGTTAATTAAGAGAGATTTACATAACAGTACATATATAATTTAACCCTCACAATGCCTTACTTAAAAGTTTCACCAAGCACACACTCACTTTTAGAAATGAAAAATTTCATAGAGAGGACAGCTAAATATTAGCATAATAATAATATTGGCGACAGGTTAGGCTGATTTTTTCATACATAATACATACTAGTACAACAGATGGAGCAGGAATAGAAAAGAAAAAGGGGGAGGGGTCTGGAAAATTTCATAAATTGCAAGAATTTAGACAGTTATAAATCATAGAATCTTAACAGGTTGTTACCACTGTAACAACACAACAACAAAAATATAATTATAATAAGCAAGATACTAGACAAGAAAGTTTCATGCCATAATTTGATCGTTGTTCCAGCTGTTTATCATCATGATTTATAAATCAAGGGCATCGTCTTGGAATAAAGAATATTCTCTGTGCTTTAAAATAAACAAAAAAAAGATGTATAAATGTTCTTATGAAAATAAATATGCAGGACCTTGTGCCTTGTCATAGGGATGGCCACACCCATTTATCTCTGCTATGAATATACAACCAGCTTAAAACGTTCCATCAATGTTAATCATTTACTTGCCTTGATTTTTAGTTATTGCCAGGACCAAATAGGCAACAAATCCACAGACCCCTGTCAGTTGTATAAAACATCCAGTCAGCATAAATGATTTTAAACGTATGGGGTTTGAGTCCCAAACTTGTTTATAGTAGGCTATTGTGACACCCAAAGCTATTGCTGCAGCAATTCCTGAGGATAGTAAGTTCAATTTTTAAAATTTTATATTAAAAAATGCTAGCTCCAAATATAATAACATGCATTCATAAAGAGAACATACAATTAGGAAAAAATAGTGTAAATTGTAATAATTTATATTATAATAGATTAATAAATCTATTCTTAATACTGGTGTAACACTGTAAGACTCTTTCGAAAAAAGACTGCTTTTCCCTGAATGATTTTTATATCTACTTTATGAATTAAAATTAGAGACATTTGACCATTTGACATAAATAGATAAGTCAGTAAAATTCTGTAAAGGAACCATCCATAAATGCCATCCTGCTCTATATGATAATGGAAAGTTTTGGACGCCCCACACCTGATGCGTGACATCATTTTATGAATGGCCCAAAAAATCAGGCTTCAGTAGATAACAGTTGGGCCATCCATAAAAAACGATGTCATGACCCGTGTGTAGATTATGATGAATTTGTAATGATGTGCGATTAAAGTGTCAAGTTTTGTTTCAATTTTGTGACAATGCAGACTGGGGTTTAGGGGGGGGGGGGAATAGCGTGACATCATTAGGCTTATATTAACATGACAGTTGCAAAAAAGAGGTAATTTTTGCATTTGTGATATTTTTCATGCTTGCTTAAAATTTTAACTAAAAATATCTTAGTAGCACTTCAGTAAATACCAATATAAATAATAATTAAAAATTATTTTTTTTATCTCTATGAGCCTAGTTTTAATTCAGTTCAGTTTTTACTACTGCCTAGCACAGCGGTTCTCAACCTGTGAGTCATGACACCTTTGGGGGTCGAATTACCCTTTTCCAAGGGTCGCCTAAGACCATCGGAAAATACATATGCTTTACAGTTATGAAGTAGTAACGAAAATAATTTTGTCGTTGGGGGTCGCCACCACATGAGCAACTGTTTTAAAGGGTCTCGGCATTAGGAGGCTGGGGAACCACTGGCCAAGCAGTTAGATTATGAGCTACCCTGCACCCAGAAATTTTTTTTGTAAAATTGTTGGAGACTGAGATTAATTTAATGTATCTTATATTAGGAAACAAAATAATAAATATCATTGACATTGGGTTAGGCCTATATTATTTATTTAATTATAAAAGAGTATAATTATAGTATAATAGGGGCGTCCATTAATTACGTCAACAAAATAGGAAGGGGAGAGGGGGGTTTGGAAATGTTTGACAGTTGTTCACAAGGGGGAGGGAGGGTTAGATTAGTTGACGTCAACAATCATGTTTTCTCTAATAAAATTTTAATCTTAAAAATTGACTGGTTATTACATTATTTAAAAAAAATTTATAAATGTTAAGAGTGCAAATAGTCATATAATTTTTAGGTTTTTAACAATATAAGATTTATTTAATGTGTGTCTGTGCGCTGCAGATGGCTGGTCAGAATGTTAGCACACTTTGTTGTTGCAAGAGAAGTCAAAAGTTGGCCTCTCTTCACCTGTAGATTCGATTGCAGTTATGGAACAAGGACAAGATTCACAAGTCATGTGCAGTCAAGATAAATGATAACGATAGAATAGGAATACGATATTTTGAGAATTAGGTGAATGTAAAGTGAGTAACAATAATAACATTGCTGCTTGAACGGATTTGCAAAATCTGTAACATTTATTTTGTATCACAAGTCATGTTGAAAAAGCATGTTCAACAGAACCGAAAATGCCCTCTTGAGCATTAGAAATAAGCACCTACTCCTCAACAAAAAAAGATTTGACCAATGCGAGTAGCTGCAAGGAGATAGATATAGCTTATGGGAATTATTGTTCACACCAACAATGCTTTTATTTTAAGTGAAAAATGGATAGATGAGGTCAATGAGGATAATGTTGACTTGTCTGGTAGGCCTATATCACTGCTGCAAGATCAAAATGATCAACCAGCTGCTATAGACTATGCCCATCAGGGTCGTCATTACATGTTTCTTTCAAGGGGGGGGGGGGGCAAAACCAAAACTTGGTCGGCTTGTTAAGCTGTTCATTACTGGAGGCGCCACAGAACATAGCAATTTAAATCAAACCTGCAAATTAAGGGGTGGTAAATGCCCCCCTGCCCTACCCAAATGATGTCCCTGATGCCCATTGTTAGAAAAAACTTGGCTAATCCTTGGGAAGATGATAGCAGCTAGAAACTTTACTATAATTGTTAGCTTTACTGACAATAATCATCTATATACCACAAAAATTGATATTTAGTCTTTAACAACTGAAGTATTTTTACTACAATTTTATTGTCATTAAAATAGATCAGCACAAAGTAAAATGTATTTATACATTTATATTAATATTATAAATCCTTTTTTTTTTGGGGGGGGGGGTTTAGAAAATGTTGACATACTTAAATAGGGGGTCATTGAAAGTTTGACAGTTGTTGACAAGTGGGGGGAGGGATCAAACATTGCTTAAAAACTGTTGATGTAATTAATGGACCACTCCATAATTTAACTACCAGTAATTAATAAATAACTGTACTGTAAATATAATATAGTAATGGGATTACCATAAATGATAAATAACTAACAAATACATATTATGATTGATTATACATAATATAATATATAATAATATATATATGGTTATTAGTTATTAGCCTAAGTTATTTTATCAAATTAAATAAGGCTCCAAAATTTGTAACTTGACTTTAAAAAAAAATGTATTTGACTTGGTCCTTGGTTTAGTTAGCGGCATTGGCATTAGTATTAGTAGTAGGCGTAGGAGTCGTCCATTAAACCTAAAGTAAAAGTAAAGTAAAAAGTGATAGTATGTCGTCATGAATGTCGTTGTCGTTTTTACCCCCTCCCACCCTCATGTCCATGTCACTAATATTAAAAAATTAAATAGGTCGGTTTAAAATAGTTCAAATATTAAATTTCAAAAACATGTCCATGTTAAAGTTAAAATAAATGGCACTGATTTCCATTAAGTTATGTTATACATATCTATTATTCAGAACTTAACTTTCTAACGTTACTTACCTGATAGTAGGCCCCATAAACCAGTGTTGTAGTTTTTATAGTGGGTACAGAAAACAATGCCGACAGAGACACTAACAAAAACTCCAATAATGCTGAAAATTAACCTAGCCCTCAACGAGCAGGGAGAAATGCGCCTTACATTCACAGATCCTACATCCATTTTCCTAAGCCTAAGGCAAAACTTATAAAGTAGTTAGTTAAGTTAGTATGTCCTTGTGTGCCGTGTTTATCAAGTCTTCAGTCTTAGTAATATCTTTAAACACGAAAATGCTATTTATAGTATTTCCGGTTATTCTTGTTATTGCAATTATTATTGTCAGTTTTTAATACTGGTAGTTGAATCCGGGGCCAGGGGTTCTGTATTTGTGTATTATTTTAATATTCGGGGCGTTGTTACAAACGTATAATATTCGGATTTTAATGATTTTAAAGTTCGTGAAAATGGCTTGTCCCGGAGAACATTAGAAGAATGCCCGAAACAACAAACAAAACCAGCCATTGTTGCTATCGAAATCGCGTGTATAAAGGTCACACATTTAAACCAAAAATTTCGATAAAAATAAGGGGTGCCACCTATCGGCTGTCCACTGAACATCAGTTTTGCTCACTATTATTCCATGTGGAATAATCCTTGAATCGAAAAGTGGTATAATAGTTGTTTTTTTCATTTGCTCTGCACTGTAGGAGAGGACACGCAGTTTAAAAACAAAATTAATTAAATAACTTAAAAAAAAAAAAAAAAAAAGAGAGGACACGCAGTTTAAAAACAAAATTAATTAAATAACTTAAAAAAAAAAAAAAAAAAAAAGATCAAATAAGTTATGTCGATTGCTTTTTAGTTTTGAAATTGTTATGGGAAAAATGTGTGATCTCAATCTTCTTAAAAATGTACAAATTTAATTCAGAAAAGGTCCATGTAACACGGGAAACTAAGGGTTAGACCAATCGACTGCTGCGACATATATGCGTATTGCGTACTGCGGGTGAACCGCAAATACCCCCCCCCCCTTTTTTTTGGTAACGGTAACACCAATTAACGGGCTACCGGAAAATTGTTTGAAAGAAATTTCGTCGACGGAAAATTGATCAACGGAAGTTTTATGGAACGGAAATTTGATAGAACGGAAGTTTGGTCAAAAGGAAGTTTGGTGAAATTTTTTTCTTCAGTTCACGCGATAAAAATTCGTAAAATTTCTTTTTGAACGCACTAAACAAGTCTATATAGTAAAACAACAAATGACGCGTTCAAAAAGAAGTTGGAAGCAAAATGAGATCGTGTGAACTGAAAAACAATTTCGAGCAAACTTCCGTTCTACCAAACTTCAGGTCGATCAAATTTCCATCGATTAAAACTTTCGTCAATCAATTTTCCGTCGACGTCATTTCTTTCCAATAAATTTCCGGATACGAAATGAAGGGTACTACCTATCCGCTGATGCGACCCATCCACCAGTGCGAGATTTACGTGGCTTTCAAAATTTGCCTATATATAATTATGATTGTTCGAAATATATTTTTGAAGCTTTAAACTATGTATCCCTAACTGTTCTTTTTTTCAAATGGTTGCTTGCCACCGCCCTGGATCCACGCCATCAAAAATAGAATGGCAAGAGACTACAATCGATTTAATAGATATTTAATACTAGATTTATAACCAAGTTAAATTTAAATATTCTTGTTCTTCTATTACCTTAAGGGTCCACGATCAATGAATGAATCATTCTGGCACCTATTTATTATTTTCGAGGGTATTCGCAATGCTTCTATGCCTGGTATTGAAGAAGATATTTCACTGGTTGCAAGGGCTACTCAGCGAGGGCAACTGGAACGGAAGGGGTTGGGGAGGGGGGGAGTTGGAAGGCCTGAGGGAATAGACGTAAATGTGTCTAGTATTGTGCATCAACTGTTCCATTTGGAAGCTTGTTCCATTCCCTGATTGTCTATGTCAGGAATGAGCAGTTACTGTACTGTGTGCTTGCTGTTATGAGCCTCGTCGCTGTCTGGAGTCTGGGGAGAGGTGGGGGAGACGAGTTTCTATTTAATGCTGGAGCAGTGGACCCTAGAGTCTTTTTTGTCTGGCCGCACACATTGTTAATATGTTCACCCCAGCCCCAGCAGAACTCTCTATGTACACGGAGGTAACGTTCGTCGAATGCGTACATTTTAGTTGAGTAAGTAAACCTAAAAATGAGGGATCATCGTCATAAATCAGGGGATATATCAACAGAAACGATGGAATATAATCAACATAAACCAGGACATATCAACAAAAACCAGGGAATTATCAAAGAACCCAAGGGATATCAACAAAAGGAGATCATCATCAATATAGTTGAGATCAACTTTAAACAAATAAACTAAGACTGAAGAGATTATCTAACACTTGAAATTTAAAGACTCATAAGTATAAAAGTGTTTATTATATAAAAGTGTGTTATATTCTTAATCCCGAACTTCATGAACTTCATCTTATTATTTTTTCCCCACATGATACCCCCCCCCCCCCTTTTTTTTTTTTGCAAGACAGTTACAGGCTAGAGCCTCATATACTCGAGGCATCTTTGTCGTAAAACTCTGGCCTAAACCTGTATGTCAATGCAAATCTCACTTGTCATATAGTCCACAGGGTAAGGATATACCGTGAAGCTAGTGGCTGTCAAATCTAGTGGCTCTCATGCTACATAGCTAGTGGCTCACATAGCTAGTGGCTCCCAAAGCTAGTGGCTCCCAAAGGTAAGACTCTCAAAGCTAAGGCTCTCAAAGGAAAGGTTCTAAAAGCTAAGGCTATCAAAGCTAAGTCTCTCAAAGCTAAGGCCATCAAAGCTAAGGCTATATATATCAAAGCTAAAGCTCTCAAAGCTAAGGCTATAAAAGCTAAGGCCCTCAAAGCAGAGGTTCTAAAAGCTGAGGCTCTCAAAGCTAAGGCTATCAAAGCTAAGGTTCTCAAAGCTAAGGCTATCAAAGCTAAGGCTCTCAAAGCTAAGGCTATCAAAGCTAAGGCTCTCAAAGCTAAGGCTATCAAAGCTAAGGTTCTCAAAGCTAAAGCTATCAAAGCCATAAGGGTCTCAAAGCTAAGGCCCTCAAAGCTAAGGTTCTAAACGCTAAGGCTCTCAAAGCTAAGGCTCTCAAAGCTAAGGCTCTCAAAGCTAAGGCTCTCAAAGCTAAGGCTCTCAAAGCTAAGGCTCTCATAGCTAAGGCTCTCAAAGCTAAGGCTCTCAAAGCTAAGGCTCTCAAAGCATCAAAGCTAACGCTCTCAAAGCTAAGGCTCTCAACGCTAAGGCTCTCAAAGCTAAGGCTCTCAAAGCTAAGGCTCTCAAAGCTAAGGCTCTCAAAGCTAAGGCTCTCAAAGCTAAGGCTCTCAAAGCTAAGGCTCTCAAAGCTAAGGCTATCAAAGCTAAGGCTCTCAAAGCTAAGGCTCTCAAAGCTAAGGCTATCAAAGGTAAGGCTCTCAAAGCTAAGGCTATCAAAGCTAAGGCTCTCAAAGCTAAGGCTCTCAAAGCTAAGGCTCTCAAAGCTAAGGCTCTCAAAGCTAAGGCTCTCAAAGCTAAGGCTCTCAAAGCTAAGGCTCTCAAAGCTAAGGCTCTCTAACGTGATGATATCGCGATCCGGATCTGATAATTGCCGACACCAACAGTAGAAACTCTGCCTGGTCTCATTGATTCCAGAACGAGGTTTAGTGGAGGTTTTTGGGGTTGGGGGGAAGGAGATAGTCTGAACTCGTTATTTAATTATGTGAAACAAATTTAGTGACAGAAAAAATGTGAAATGATGTAGAAATATAGTACCGACTGTTCCACCTGTAGACATTTTAGTACCGACTGTTCCACCTGTAGACATTTTTGTACCGACTGTTCCACCTATAGACATTTTAGTACCGACTGGTCCACCTATAGACATTTTTGTACCGACTGTTCCACCTGTAGACATTTTTGTACCGACTGTTCCACCTGTAGACATTTTTGTACCGACTGTTCCACCTATAGACATTTTAGTACCGACTGTTCAACCTATAGACATTTTTGTACCGACTGTTCCACCCTGTAAGGCATAAGATCCGCTGGTTTAAACATAGTTGATGTTGACGATAATAATGAAACCTACTACTACTACTACTGGTTGCTGCCGCTACTACTTCCACCACTAATACTGGTTGCTGCTAATACTACTACTACTACTACTTCTACTACTACTACTAATCTACTTCTGCTGTGCAAATGCTTCTGTTACTACTTCTACTACTATTCTACTACTGCTGCTGCTACTAATTCTACTACTACCACAACAACTTTTACTACTACTAACTACTACTACTACTATTACGACCACTACTACTACTACTACTACTACTGCTGCTACTACTACTCTTACTACTGCTTCTACTACTACTTATTACTACTACTGCTACTGCTACCACTGCTTCTACTGCTGCTATCACTACTGATAATAATGAAAGCCTTAAAGGGCCGGTCATGTACAAGCCTTAATGAGGAAGAGGCTTTTACAAACAGGAAGATAGCGCTTGGAGGATAAGTAAACAATCGGTTAAGGTCATCCACCTCTCCATTCACTCTTTTGCGCATGAACTAAATATTTAGATTACAAAGGCAAACATTAGCTGAAGACTTTTACAGCTATTAATGAAATATTTACAATCTTAAAGCGAGGTGGACCACATAAGAGCGGTACGTATTCACGTAATAACATGGAGTGGAGTGGCGCCCGCGCTGTGAGATCCATTTCATCGGATTATTGCAGAGAGGTACCGTTTTTATGTGGCCCACACTGTAGGCTTCCATCTCACCCATACCCCCCTCCCATACACTCACAACTTACCCTCCACCCCAGCAGCGATAACGAAATGAAACCCCCACCAACCAGTCTCCCCCCACACACCACATACAAAATAAATGGGTTTTTTTTAGAAAAAATTCAACTCCAACAACAAAACTAATCCAAATAAAAAATACGTAGAGTAAAATAGATTCCATTTACTCCTAACACATAAGGGGAGACAATCCTAAACTAAAAGTTGTTTATGTTATGAAATGGATGTGAGGGATGCCGTATGTTAATAAAAAATATATTTCAGCGGCTATGCGTTATGTACCTTTGCTTATAACTTATAGACCAAAGCAAGGTTTCTTATATTTGTATGTATAACAGAACTGACCTTACAGGTAGTCAGATGGAAAAACAACACATTGATCATTTTAAACCCGATGAAATAAAAGAAGCATGCTCACATTTCGTAAACAAAGGGGAGCCAATCAATATTAATTTTAATTTAAGGGCTTTAAATAGCTCCCCCACCCACCCTCCCCATTCAAGGGGCCCATGAAAACCCATACAAAGAACCCCTGGATTATTGCTGGATTGAATCATGACTTAAATAATGGCTTGAAGCTGTATCAGATTGTAGCTTAAGTGCGACTTCATTATTGAGAAACACGTCAAGGAAGATTTCGGAGTAAAGGAAGCCCTTCGGGCTATTCACGTCAGCTCGGATTTGACAGGTTAGGGCGTAGACCAGTGATCCTATTCACGTCAGCTTTGATTGGACAGGTTAGGGCGTAGACCAGTGATCCTATTCACGTCAGCTCGGACTGGACAGGTTAGGGCATAGACCAGTGGTCCTATTCACGTCAGCTCGGACTGGACAGGTTAGGGCGTAGACCAGTGGTCCTATTCACGCCAGCTCGGACTGGACAGGTTAGGGCGTAGACCAGTGGTCCTATTCACGTCAGCTCGGATTGGACAGGTTAGGGTGTAAATCAGCGGTCCTATTCAAGTCAGCTGGGACTGGACAGGTTAGGATTGGAAAGGATGCGTTTAAAACAAATCTCAAGCTACGCCATGTGGTTAACTCTGGTTGCTATTTCAGCGACTGGTGTTGTGTGCGACTGGTGTTGTGTGCGACTGGTGTTGTGTGCTACAATAACAAGTCCCTTCAAATTATTATGTTAATAGTCTACAGCAGTGGTCGGCAAGCTCATTAGTCAAAAGAGGCAAAAATCAGCTGCACGAACGATATGTGGCCGTCTGGCCGAGCCGCACTCAGGTCGCTAAACGGCCGCATGCAGCTCGACAGCCGCGGTTTACCGACCACTGGTTAACAGCAGTGTTTTCCAATTGGTGGTCTGCTGACCGGCTGCAGTCCACCAGCCTTACGTTGTCTGTCCACCAGCCTTACCTGATCTATCCACCAGCCTTACGTTGTCTGTCTACCAGCCTTACCTGATCTATCCACCAGCCTTACGTTGTCTGTCTACCAGCCTTACGTTGTCTGTCCACCAGCCTTACCTGATCTATCCACCAGCCTTACGTTGTCTGTCTACCAGCCTTACGTTGTCTGTCCACCAGCCTTACCTGGTCTGTCCACCAGCCTTACCTTGTCTGTCAACACCATATTCATACTTATGTTCAAATAAAAAGAAACCATCATTATTAAATCTGGCACCGGTCCCTGGTTTAAATTCAAAATTTGTCCACATTATGGAAACATGCAATTGTCAAAATATATATAATTTCTTCATTTTTAAAAATTTATTATTTCTGGACCAACAATTCCAGATCATTTTTTTTGAAAATGATATGCTATATTTTACTCATATATAATATACTTTTCAATATATAATAGCACAAGGTATGCTGACCGTAACTTCAAAGAACCTAAAAGATTTAAATACGTTCGTATTCCTTAAACCAATCAGAGTTATTTTCTATTATTTGACGGCAATTGAATAAATTTAAATGCGCAAAAAGTAACATAAATCCGCTTTTATTTGAGTCAAAGTTCAAGGATTATTTTGATAAATGACAAATACATTTAAAGTAACAACTAAGGAACTCTTCTAAACATTTTATCCGAATTTAAAAGTTTTGGGGAAAAAAAATTAATAAAAAAATTATGATCTAAGAATTACGCCGTAATCACATTTATCGGGAAAACCCAAACATCTGTAGTTTTTAGCGCGTTTTTTTAGTGCGTTGTTAATATTGCGAAATGAAATTAAAATTAATTTGTTCTCAATAAACAATCAAATGACGCCATGAGTACGAATCGCCTACGTTGTTAGCCCAAACTCTAAAGTTTCTCGATTTATAAACTGCGCATTACAAAGCTGATCATGTATTTCCCCCTTTAGACAAAAAAAAATAATTAATATAATTAGATTGCTTTTAAAATTGTTAATAAAACACACAGATTTTAGCTTTGTATTTTTAACATTTTATAAGTTTTTACTTTTTTAATTGCAAAATTATACTTCTCTAAATTTATAACGTAATAAAAACGTAACCTTTAAATGTACTTCTAATAAGAAAATGCCGTTTAAGTCAATCAGTGCAGCGAAATTCCATAGCAAAATAGCATTCACTAATCCACTTATAACTCATGCAAAATAAAAACAAACAATATGAACTACAAAATAGGTTAGTTTGGGAATGGAAGGGACTACAATCCGGTGGAAGATTTGATTAATTGTATTTAAATCTGGGAGGGGGGGGGCGGGTTTTCATTTTGCCCCAGGCAGCACAAGATAATCTCAAAATATAAAGGAATGAATTGGATAAATAATAATATCACCAGCTTCCCGGTTGGATACATCTTTTTTCTATAAAACCTCTGATAGTAACTCATCTCAGAGAAGGAAACACTGGCTTCAAACTCAGAGATAGAGTCCCGTAGGCGGTATGACATTGACACAACGAACATTTCAACAACTCCTTTGACGTAGAACGCATAAATAGCACAGTGAAATACACACACGCGCGCACACACACACACACACACACACACACACACACACGCACGCACACACACAAACACACACACACATGCACGCACACACACAAACACACACACGCACACACGCACACACGCACGCACACACAAACACACACTGCTGGTGATCTACAGCATCCTAGTCTATTTCCCATCGTCTTGACAAAGTCTTGCCGTTGTTGGAACAAATAAGCCAAGGACGAGAGAGTGAGGCTGACGAACTGAGCAAAGTAAAAACCACTTTAAACAAACATCAGCTCATGCTCAAGTCAAGGCTACTCAAGTCTAAATTTGACTTAACATGACTTCTGTAGTGGTCTACACATGACTATTTTCTTAGTACATATAAACAAATTTGGGGGCCCGGGCCCAAACCAGAATGTTGTAAATGGATGTGTTAATTCAGAAACCTATAATTATGTCACATACAAACTGAAATGTCACAGTTTGTCTTTGATTCAATGGCATCCACCCATGAAACAGCTCTGTTTAAAATTATGTTTACACAGCTCATATAAGAAACAAAAACAAATTTAGGGCCCCCTGCCCAAAACGGAATATTGTAAAATGATTGTAACTTATTCAGAAACCCTTTTAACGGCGTGCACACAACAGCTTGATCGCAATCAGAGGAATGGTACAGGAACGCATGCGTAAATTATATTCAAATAGCTCACAACAGAAAAAAAACAACAACTAATTAGTGGCCCCGGTCCAAAACTGAACATTGCAAATGGTTGTACAAATTCAGAAACCTACTAAATTATGTCACACAGAAACGGAAATTTCGTGGTTTGTATTTGATTCAATTCCATTCATGCATGTATAAGTTCTCTTTAAAATTATATTTTTATAACTCCATTATTAAAAAAAAAATAAAAAAATTAGGGCCCCGGCCCCAAATCGGAATATTGTAAAAAGGCCGAACTAATTCAGAAACCGACTTATGTCACACCTAATATTTAATGTGCCTATTTGTATTTGATTAAAATTATATCCACTCATGCATTAGCTCAGTTTGAAATTATATCTATACAGCTCATTAAAGAAACAACGAACATAAGGCGCCTGGCTCAAAACGAAATATTTTAAAATGGTTGTAATACTTCAGAAACCATTGCGGGCGTGCCCACATCTCACCAAAGCTTCATCACATTCGGACAAATGGTATAGAAGTGAATAAGGAAATTATATTTTACAAAGCTCATATTAGAAAAAAAAATGAATGTAGGGCCAACGGCCAAAAACTAAATATTTTAAATGTGTTGTAATGACTCGGTAAAATGCGTGGGCTTGTGGATAACAACTCAGCAACGTTTTGTCGCAATCACAGGAATGGTGTAGGAGCGCATACGAGACATACGTCCATACATTCATTTTTATTTTTATATTGTATATATTTTATCGGAGAGGTTGTTGATGAGCTCGTATCGGAGGGGAGGGGGGTGGCAGCATGCTCCAGTAGAATTGCCTGGATCTCACCTACGTCCTTTCGACGTCGCACAGTATTCGGTACTACAATATATTTGTGACTAATGTGTCATTGTCCCTGGCACATACAATATAAAGTGTATATGTCATCATAAGAACAAATTTTTAATCTTGATATTGAAAATTATGGATTTTAATGATCGCTCAACACGCTGGGAAGGTGTGTGTAGCAATAACTAGAGCTTTAACAAACAACAGAAATCTCTGATTGTCTTTTATTCCAGGTGGTTTATTGCCTGAGTGACCTCTATGACAGTTGGTTTACTACCTGAGTGACATTGCCAACTAGCCAATCTTAGTGAAATAAGGTAACTCCTCCAAAGAGGCGGGATAATTACGAATCCACGCCCCACCCTGTACAACCCGGCCTCTCAACTCGTCTCTCCACTGACCTTTGGGTAAATAAATGTCACGTGACCTCGCACCCTGCTCCAGCACCGGGGCCACGAGGAGGTCATCCCCGAGCAGGAACTCTGAGTCCAGCTGCAGGGCCGTCGTGTCTTCGGGGTCTAGCCACCATAAAGGCCTGTTGATGGGTTCCCCAGTTTTCTGGGCGTGGTCAGCCAAGTCGACGATCTTATCAGCGTATTGCTCATGAAGACGAATGTATTTCCCGGTCAGTTCCAAGACAGTTGCGTTATAAGACCAAGGCGTTATAGAAAATTGAAGGACTGGCATAAACACGGTGGCTTGGAGCCACCGGACAAACAGCTCAGAATCCGGATTGGGCCCGTAGGCGTTTCCACCAATCATGTCCGGGAGGACGTAAGGGTAGCCCATGAAACCGAACACGAGGGCACAAGGGATGAGAGTTTTGAGGCCCAAAGTGTTGCTCCAGTCACTCTGTCTGTCCAGCATGCGGACCATCAGCGTGGACGCCTGACTTCTGTACCCAACCCTTACTTCCTGTCGGCGCTGGTCGGTGTCGGCCAGGAAGGTCATCTCGATGTAGGTTCTCGTCAGGTAGTTCGGATGGGCTAGTTGGTTGCTCAGCTTGTAAGGGCCTCCGATCCAGCTGATTTCCCCGGCGTCGAACTTAAAGGAAGTGACGTTGTAAGCGTCTCGCAGGGCCTTGACCTTTTCAAGGTACCACTTTACGGCGTCGGGATTGGTGACGTCAATAACTCCAGCGCTCCCCCTCCACCAGGTCACCACATGTGGTCTGCTTGAATTGAGCTCCTGTATGAGGTAACCCTTAGCTGAGAGTTCCCTGAAGGCGTTGGAATCTGTGTTTAAAAATGGGTGCATCCACACGGTGGTGACGATTCCCTTCTGCGTCAGGTTCTTGATCAAGTTAGCCGCCCCGGAAAACGTTTGATTGTCAAAGACGAAATCTCCATAGTGAGGCGTCCACCTGTCATCGATCTCCAGCTGAGAAATGCTGAAATTGTTTTTCAACACGTCCTCCGCGAATTCCAAGACCGTGGAGTCGTTGATGTTCTCCTTGTAGCTGGCCCAGGTCGTCCACACCGGGTGCCTCAAGACGTCCGACGACGGGACAACCGCTGGCTTAGGGAGGTATACTTCCGAGACGCCCCGCCACAGCTCGAGGAGGTTGGCCGCCTTGCAGATGTCATACTTGAGGAACGCTTGAGGAACGTTGAAAAATGGCGTGTTGGCTCCCACTTTTCCTTTCAGGCACAGCATGTGTGACCCTGCTTGGTTCACGCTCAGGTAAAGGGGCGTGGTCTCGTCCACATAGATTCCCACCCCCGAAGATGAAAGAAACATGCCCTCGAGTACGCCTCCGTACATGAAGGACTGGTAGGTGTCACCCGTGATAAAAGCAGACGAGTTCGCCTGGAAAGTGTTTATCGGCCAGACCTGGGAAGACGACTCGAACCCGCCAAACCAGTAAAAACCAGTCATGTTGTAACAATCTTCTGGCGTCTCTTGCCCGGCGCCATCTTGAGGTGGCCTCCAGTGAACCGTACTGCACTGTAAACCAGTCACAGTGTTAAGACGACCGAGATTTTTCCAGAAGCTTTCAACCCGCCAGCCATTTGTCCACTCCAAACACTGACCCTGGTCCTTCAGTTCTCCAGGCAGCTCACAGGCCACCATGTCGGTCGTGACCTTGCCGTGCGCCAGCCAACCTGCCAGCAATGAGGTCTTAGAGGTGGCGTTGTTTTTAAAAAGGATCTCGAGTCCACTTGAGGTGGCCTTGGTTTGAGCATCGCTCCAGAACTGCAAAAGGTCATCGACATTTCGTCCTAGCAGCGCAGTAGAGGGGACACACGTTCCCGATAGCACGAGCAGGATAAACATCAAGGGACCTCTGGAAGGCAGCATTTTAGAATGTGTTAAAATATGTTGTAGACACTTGACCATGAACACAGCTGTGGAGAAAAGAAATAGTTTTAAACAGACTTACATTTAATTCATCTATTACATACAACATCCGGTTAAATAAGAATCATGTGTGTGTTAGGGGTCACGATAACTAACAATCGTGCGTGGTTGGGTGTGTGTGTGTGGGGGGGGGGATAGCTCGGTAACTAACAATATTTCTTTAAATCAGAATTGTATGTTGTGGTTTAAAAAAACGGAATGGTGGACATCAGAACAATGGTTATTGATAGTCATTGACCTAAGGGGGGGGGCATTAGAACATTGGTCATTGATAGTCACTGATGTAAAGAAGGACATTAAAACAATGGTCATTTGTGGTCATTGACCTGAAGGGGGACATTAGAACATTAGTCATTGATAGTCAGTGACCTGAAGGAGGACATTAGAACATTGGTCATTGATGGTCAGTACCTAAAGGGGGACATTAGAACAATGATAATTGATAGTCAGTGACCTGAAGGAGGACATTGCAAGAATGGTCATTGATGGACAGTAACCTGAAGGGGGACATTAGAATATTGGTAATGGATGATCAGTGACCTGAAGGGGGAAATTAGAACATTGGTCATTGATAGTCAATGATATGAAGAAGGACATTAAAACAATGGTCATTGATGGTCAGTGACCTGAAGAAAGACATAACACCATTGGTCATTAATGGCAAGTGGCCTTAGGGGAAATTAACACATTGGTCAGTGATGGCAATGGGCCTTATGGGACAATAGCACAATGGTCACTGATGGCAAGTCCCTGGGAGTAAAGAACCCATTGGTCACTGATGGAAAGTGGCCTGAGGAAGTCATTAACCCATTGGTTAGTGGCAAGTGGCTTTAGAGGTACATGAACCCATTGGTCTAGTGTTGTCGCCTCAACCGTTCCTTTTGAAAGATGGTTCCAGTCCCTGATTGTCTTGGGCAGGAATGAGCAGCTCCTATACTGGCTTCTTGCTGGTATGAGCCTGAATTGCCTGTCATGGCCTCGTCGCTGTCTATGGGGGAGAGGGACGAGTTTCTGTTTAATACTGGAACAGTGGACCAGCCAGTTATTTATCTTGTACATCATGGAGAGCCTGGATTGTCGTCGTCGTTTCTCCAATGGTGACCAGCCTAGTGTTTCTAGCATGCTGCCAAACACTAGAGGTATTCCTGTAGCTGTTTAGGACAAAGCGTGCTGATAGTCGCTGGACCGCCTCTAACTTGTCAATGCTCTTCTGGGTAACATTAGGGGACATTAACCCATAGATGACTGATAGAAAGTTGCTTAGGGGGACTTTAACCCATTGGTAACTGATGGCAAGTGACCTTAAGGGGACATTCACCCATTGGTCACTGATAGCAAGTGAATTGAGGAAGAAAAAGAACTCTAAAAATGTCCAGTTATGTAATAAAGTAAATGTGACTCTACAAGGTGAAGGTAATACGGTAATTGCAAAGTCTTATAGGTAATAATCGTATTTTTTATTTGAGGTAAAAATGGAATGGAAATAACGATGCCACCAAAAGTTTTCAATAGTTGTTGTATGGATTCCGTGTTTGTGGTAACTGTTGGCGAATGTACTTTTTATGTGATGATGATGATGTGCTGTGACGTATTCAATGTGATAGAGTTGTAGCAGTAGAGGTGTTTATTGCCTTTATGCATTTATTTCACCACCCTTTGTCCAAGTATGTCTGTAACATCTATGTTATTTAGACTACCAGAGCTCATTTGGCTATTATGACAGCCAGATCCCATTTGGCTATTATAACAGCCAGATCCCATTTGGCAATTATGACAGCCAGATCCCATTGGGCTATTATGACAGCCAGATCCCATGGGCTATTATGACAGCCAGGTCCATTTGGCTATTATGACAGCCAGAGCCCATTGGGGCTATTATGACAGCCAGATCCCATTGACTATTATGACAGCCAGATCCCATTTGGCTATTATGACAGCCAGGTCCATTTGGCTATTATGACAGCCAGAGCCCATTGGGGCTATTATGACAGCCAGATCCCATTGACTATTATGATAGCCAGATCCCATTTGGCTATTATGACAGCCAGATCCCATTTGGCTATTATGACAGCCAGATCCCATTTGGCTATTATGACAACCAGATCCCATTTAGCCATTATGACAGCCAGACCCCATTGGACTATTATGACAGCCAGATCCCATTTGGCTTTTATGACAGCCACAGCCCCTTTGGCTGTTAACACTGTCATTCGTTATGTACATGGCCAGCTATTGGTTAAGTGTCACATCATATTTAAAGACTGTGCTAAGAGCCAACGATAAGACGAACACAATGCATACAGCCATTTGATGAACTCACCTAATCAGTAGAGCACTGTAGCGGCTTGTCTGACCACGACGACACTCTCAGCACACATGACACACATGACACATTATTTTATAGGCCAAGCACCAAACAAGATTATAATGTCAAGAGTTGTTCAACTGACTTACCACATTTAATGACTGACAGAGGCGTAAAGCAAGAGTTGTTCAACTGACTTACCACATTTAATGACTGACAGAGGCGTACAGCAAGAGTTGTTCAACTGACTTACCACATTTAATGACTGACAGAGGCGTATAGCAAGAGTTGTTAAAGCAAACTGACTTCGACCATGAACCACATGTAGTGACTGGCAAACGTGTCAACGTTACCCTTTCCCTCTGCCTCTTTCTCCGTCATTCTCTTGGTAGCTATCACTCTCTCGATCTTGAACTCCGCATACACTCCTTTCTCTCTCCCTCCCCCACACTCTCTCTAGCACCTCTATTTCACCATCTTTCCCCCTTTTTAAAAATAACATTATTTCAAAACCGTGTCCCCGTTTCCCTCTTATGTTACTCATTACATTCCTCTTGCCTCCTGTGTTCAGGTTAGTCCTCTAATGTTACCCATTACATTCCTCTTGCCTCCTGTGTTCAAATTAGTCCTCTAATGTTACCCATTACATTCCTCTTGCCTCCTGTGTTCAGGCTAGTCCTCTAATGTTACCCATTACATTCCTCTTGCCTCCTGTGTTCAGGTTAGTCCTCTAATGGTACCCATTACATTCCTCTTGCCTCCTGTGTTCAGGTTAGTCCTCTAATGTTATCCATTACATTCCTCTTGCCTCCTCTGTTCAGGTTAGTCCTCTAATGTTACTCATTACATTCCTCTTGCCTCCTGTGTTCAGGTTAGTCCTCTAATGTTACCCATTACATTCCTCTTGCCTCCTGTGTTCAGTTTAGTCCTCTAATGTTACCCATTACATTCCTCTTGCCTCTTGTGTTCAGTTTAGTCCTCTAATGTTACCCATTACATTCCTCTTGCCTCTTGTGTTCAGTTTAGTCCTCTAATGTTACCCATTACATTCCTCTTGCCTCCTGTGTTCAGGCTAGTCCTCTAATGTTACCCATTACATTCCTCTTGCCTCCTGTGTTCAGGCTAGTCCCCTAATGTTACCCATTACATTCCTCTTGCCTCCTGTGTTCAGGTTAGTCCTCTAATGGTACCCATTACATTCCTCTTGCCTCCTGTGTTCAGGTTAGTCCTCTAATGTTACCCATTACATTCCTCTTGCCTCCTGTGTTCAGGTTAGTCCTCTAATGTTATCCATTACATTCCTCTTGCCTCCTCTGTTCAGGTTAGTCCTCTAATGTTACTCATTACATTCCTCTTGCCTCCTGTGTTCAGGTTAGTCCTCTAATGTTATTCATTAAATTCCTCTTGCCTCCTCTGTTCAGGTTAGTCCTTTAATGTTACTCATTACATTCCTCTTGCCTCCTGTGTTCAGGTTAGTCCTCTAATGTTACTCATTACATTCCTCTTCCCTCCTCTGTTCAGGTTAGTCCTTTAATGTTACTCATTACATTCCTCTTGCCTCTTGTGTTCAGGTTAGTCCTATAATGTTACCCATTACATTCCTCTTGCCTCCTGTGTTCAGGTTAGTCCTCTAATGTTACCCATTACATTCCTCTTGCCTCCTCTGTTCAGGTTAGTCCTCTAATGTTACTCATTACATTCCTCTTGCCTCCTGTGTTCAGGTTAGTCCTCTAATGTTACCCATTAAATTCCTCTTGCCTCCTCTGTTCAGGTTAGTCCTCTAATGTTACCCATTAAATTCCTCTTGCCTCCTGTGTTCAGGTTAGTCCTCTAATGTTACCCATTACATTCCTCTTGCCTCCTGTGTTCAGTTTAGTCCTCTAATGTTACTCATTACATTCCTCTTGCCTCCTCTGTTCAGGTTAGTCCT